CCTGCAGTGGAACTAAAAACGTAATTACTAGGACTCTTGGCAGACTCCACCTGTGCTGAAACTCCTCTCCTTACAATTCAACTTCCCACTCACATATTTTCTGTACCTCTCAGCTCTGGCTACTGCCCACTGTGGTTATAAAAAAACCTGTGGTATGATAAAAAAGACAGTTTTTGAGCTCCAAAGAGGCCTTACCTCTCTCTCCTCATTTTTTTGCCATGGACTACCTGAAAACAACACCATCTATAATATTCAATGGAATTGCTATCAGCTGATGTGAGCATTATGTGGACCAGGTTCACCACATTACCATCATGGTTGTCCTCCCAGTGCAAGAAGCAAAGATTACTTGGACTGAAGATTTAGGTGCTGCAGTGGTCTCAATGGAAACTTCTTTTCTGATCCTCTTACAATGACATATGATTGATTATTTTTCTTTTTTTTTTTTTTTACTTTTTCTTCTTTGCATTCTTTTAGACATAGCTTTAATCCTGTTTATATTGAAATTTATCCAAAGCCTGAAACAATTACATCACCAGAACCCGCAAAAAAGAAAGGAGTTAGCAAGATGAATGCTTGGACTAATGCTAAATTAATGGGCTCATTTAATATGTGAACTGGGACTTTTGAATTCTGTCTGCACTCAACTCATTTTAGAAATACAGCTGAGGCATTTTAAAGTGATTTTTTACTATTACTAGCAGTTAAAAAAGACATGGAACAAACCAGAAAAGTTAAGTCGCAAGCTCTTGGAGGAAAATATCTCTGTTTTTGACTGTGGTCTCTCCAGGTAATCAACAGAATTATTTCTAGAGAATAGCTATTTAACACACTTCCGTTATCTGACAAAATTCTATTGCCCATGGTTAGTGATGGTATATTTTGTGTAAGAGTATAAAAATTAAATCATGCCATATTTAAGGGATTATGAAATAATTCAGTAACTGAAATGAGATGATAAAAGCTTAAATAATCAATTAAAAGATTGAATAATCAGAATTATTTTGTATACATTCAAAAATATGCCAAAGCTGAATTTATAAAATAAGAAAGGCAAATAGACTGACAAAGTATCAAGGTAGCACAAAATTATTTATTTTTAGGGCATTGTTTTATAGCATATTACCAATATTCTGGAATGTTTTATAGAGGAATATTATGAAATTTTGTAAATACAGAACTTTCTTTATATTGAGAAAATTTTTATCTGAGGCAAAGAATTATCCATATCTCATTTGTTTTCAAAAGAAAAAAAAAAATCCTAAAAAGCTCTCAGTTTACCAGTAGTAATGTTTATTATAGCAGTGAATGAACTCAGCAACCAGGACAATCCACAATGGTCAACACCAAAAATATTAACATTCACGTAATTAAAAATGAATATATGGATGTGGCTTAGGAGGTTTGATAACAGAAGCACTAAAGCTTCATATTGTTAATGCAGTAATTACAGTCTTAATTACAGTCACATAGATATAGAATTATAGAATCATAGAACAGATAGGGTAGAAAAGGACCTTAACATCATCTACTTCCAAGCCCCCTGCCATGGGCAGGGACACCTCACACTAAACCACGTCACCCAAGGCTCTGTTCAACCTGGCCTTGCACACCTCCAGGGATGGAGCATTCACAACCTCCCTGGGCAACCTATTCCAGTGCCTCACCACCTTCACAGGAAAGAATTTTCTCCTTATAGCCAATCTAAACTTTCGCTGTTTAATTTTGAACCCATTACCCCTTGTCCTGTCACTACAGTCCCTAATGAAGAGTCCCTCCCCAGCATCCCTATAGGCCCCCTTCAGATACTGGAAGGCTGCTAGGAGGTCCCCACGCAGCCTTCTCTTCTCCAGGCTGAACATTCCCAACTTTCTCAGCCTATCTTCATAAGGTAGGTGCTCCAGTCCTCTGATCATCCTCATGGAGCTCCTCGGGACGTGTTCCAACAGTTCTGTGTCCTTTTTATGTTGAGGATACCAGTACTGCACACAATACTCGAGGTGTAGCTCACAAGAGCAGAGGGGCAGGATCACCTCCTTTGACCTGCTGGTCATACTCCTTTTGATGCAGCCCAGGATACAGTTGGCTTTCTGGGCTGCGAGCACACACTGCCGGCTCATGTCCATTTTCTCATCGACCAACACCCCCAAGTCCTTCTCTGCAGGGCTGTTCTGAATCTCTCCTCTGCCCAGCCTGTAGCTGTGCCTGGGATTGCTCCAACCCAGGTGTAGGACCTTGCACTTGTCATGGTTAAACTTCATAAGGTTGGCATCAGTCCACCTTACAAGTGTGTTGAGGTCCCTCTGGATGGCATTCCTTCCCTCCAGCGTACAAACAAAACCACACAGCTTGGTGTGATCGGCAAACTTGCTGAGGGTGCACTCAATCCCACTGTCCACATCACTAACAAAGATGTTGAACAAGATCGCTTCCAACACCTCTCTCTGAGGGACACCACTTGTTACTCGTCTCCAGCCAGATATTGAGCTGTTGATCTCAATTCTTTGCATGCTGCCATCCAGCCAGTTCTTTATCCACTGAGTGGTCCATCCATCAAATTGATGTATCTTCAAATTAAAGAAAAGGATGTCATGCGGGACAGTGTCAAATGCTTTGCACAAGTCCAGGTAGATGACATCAACTGCTCTACATATGTCAATCAGTTCCGTAGCCCCATCACAGAAGGCCACCAAATTGGTCAGGCAGGATTTCCCCTTAGTGAAGCCCTGCTGGCTGTCACCAAGCACCTTGTTGTTTTTCATGTGTCTTAGCATGCCTTCCAGGAGAATCTGCTCCAAGATTTTGCCAGGCACAGAGGTGAGACTGACTGGTCTGTAATTCCCCGGGTCTTTTCACTGTCCTGATGATCTCAAACACGACCATCGCATGATCGCTACAACCAAGGCTGCCCTGCAGTGTCCAACCCTTCCCTGTTGGTGAGCATGAGGTCAAGCATGGCACCTCTCCTTTCATTGTCAGCTCCTCTATTACTTGCAGAAGAAAATTGTCTTCCACAGAGTCAAGGAACCTCCGGGATTGCTTGTGCCTGGCCTTACTGTCCCTCCAACAGATATCAGGGTGGTTGAAGTCCCCCATGAGAACAAGGACCTGCGAACATGAGGCCTTTCCTATCTGCCTATAGAGTGTGCCATCCACAGACTCCTCTTGATCACGCGGTCTGTGACAGATCCCCACAGTAATGTCTCCTATCGCTGTTCTACCTTAAACCCTGACCCACAAACTCTCTGTTGACTGCTCACCTGTCCCCAGACAGAGGTCCATACTCTCCAGCCTATCTCCAGTATAAATAGCAATTCCCTCTCCCCGTTTACTGTGCCTGTCTTTTCTAAAGAGCCTGTAACCTTCCAATCTAATACTCCAGTCACAGGAGCCATCCCACCATGTTTCTGTGATGCCTATTATATCATACACCCGTAGACGTGCACACATCTCTAATTTCTCCTGTTTGTTCCCTGTACTATGGGCATTTGTATAGAGGCATCTGAGCTGAGCTCCAAATGAAGCCGGATCATTGGCTGGAGCAGATGGAATATATCGACATTGCTCCGAGCATTTATTATAGATACTGGCAACTGACTGGGTGTGTTGAGATGGAATGATGCCCCCTCCCCCAACACATCTAGTTTAAAGCCTCCCTGACCAGTCGGGCAAGCCTCCTACCAAAAGACCAGCTCTACCAGCCTCCAGTAGACCTGGCCTCCCAAATAGAGTCCCATGTTCTAAATACCCAAACTATGGCATGACTGTTCTAAATATATATTTACCTCCAAATCTACCTAGCCTTTTTAAGGTCCTCCTCTTTATCCTGGAGAATTGACTAAAAGACAATCTGAGCTCCAGAGCCCCTAATCACTTCTCCCAGGGCTCTGCAGTCCTCCTTAATGTTCTCCGGGCTACACTAGCACCCACGTGGACCACATGAAGCGGTAATATTCAGCGGAACTTACTAAACCAGGGAGCCTCTCTGCAACATCCCTCATCATAGCTCCTGGTAGGCAATACACCTTCTTTGAGACTGGGTCAAGGTGACAGATGGGTGCCTCTGGGCCTTTCAAAGTAGAGTCCCCTACTATTATCACCCACCACTTTTTCCTGGCAGCACCAGTAGTGATCTTCTTTACTGGTGCATCAGCCAGTTGTTCATGCTGTAAGTGTGTTTCCTTATTAACCCCCTCCAGAACTGCAAAGCAGTTCTGGGTGGGGACATCTTATTTAGGAGGAAGCCCTTTGCTTTTAATTGTCCTCTTCCTCCTTTTTTTCTTTTTCTTTGTTACTACTTCCCAGCTTCCTGGATTAATGGCCTCCTTCTTTCCTTCATGAGCTACATTGGATGCTTGAGGCCCCTGCACAGTTTGAACCAAGCATTCCTGCCTCCTCTCAGCTCCCCTGACATCTTTTAGCCTATTGACAGTGTCTTGCAGCTCATCCCCTGCTGCAGGAGGACCTCTACCAGGGAGCACTAAGTGCAGCCCTGCTCATTGCGCACCCTCACCTCACAAGACCAGTGCAGGCACTCTCTACACCCCAACTCTGCACTGCAGCCTCCCCTCTCATCGGCTCTGTCTGGTGCCTACACTGGCCACCGCGGGAGCATCCAGAGCAGAGCCCCCAGACTGTGCCCTGGTCACAAGGCAAGTTCTTGCCTGCCTGCACAAACTGCCTTGCTGCGCTCCTGATCACTCGCGCTCCCTGGGGCAGGTTTTTACCCACTCAGGGCTGGCGCTGCTCTTCCTGGCTCCACCCCTGTGAGTCAGCTGCTCCTGTGAGCTGAGCTGCCGGCTCCTGGGCAGGTCCTGTCAAGGACTTGAGGCTCCCTCGATGGCTCTTGTCAGTCTGAGTTGAGGCTCCTGGATGCCGAGCTTCCAGCCGCTCCGGTGGTCAAGGCGTCTTCTCTCGAGCTACTCACCTCAGCAATTAAAAAAAAAAAAAATATTTAACAGAACAGACTGAGCATGTTTGCAGTATCCTCTGACTTCTAAGTGAGAGAAAACAACAATTAGGGCAGGGAAGGCTGGGCATGGAGAGTCAAATGCAGTTTCTAGGATGCCATTCTGAGCTGGAATCCTGCAGCATACCCTCCAGTCACGATAATATTCTTCTTCAGAAATATGATCACTTCATCTACTCTGATTTTCACTTCTGGAGACATTTTATTACCACTGCTGTGAAATGTCAATTGCTGCTTGACGTTGTTCATGTCCCATTCTACCAGTTTCCAGTCCACTTTGATGTATCCTGTGTGATTTGCAGTCTGAAGTAGGAAAAAGACACCTCCCACCGCTGTTGCTGCCAGCTTTCCACCTTTGTAGAAGATGAATCCCATACACCATCCTGTGACCCCTCTGATCAGCAGCTGCGTGGCCACGTTGTGCTTGTCAGTGCTCGACCCCAACCTGGGGGTGAAGACCTTGCACCAACAAGGCTGGTTCTTGGTGTACTCCGCCATGACCAGGACACTGAAGGAGTCCTCCACACCTCCGCCCTGTGCCACCATTCCACTGCCAATGGGCAGCAGCAGCCAAATAACCCAGTATTTTCAGTAGTATCCTACTGTCATCTCCCTCTTAGAAATAAAATTCAAATTTCATTGGTGTTTACATCACCAGAATGCCTATGCCTTTCCTAGGAACTATCCTCAAGTTTCTGTTATATTTATAGAAGTTGTAGCTGTGTGATACACAATGCAAAATTCTAGTGAAAACTCACAATATATTGTGTTTAATCTGATGGCAAGAGTTGTCAGTGCTCAGTTTAAAAGTGACCAGATGTCCCTCTGTGATGAAGAGTCCTAGATTTTATCAAATGTCCTGCAGTTATTGAAAGGACTTTTATTAGACTTATTGTTTCTTAATATTCTTAAAAAAGACTGAAACCAATACCAAACAGGAGCAAGAAAAACACTACCTCAAAACAAGCCCATATTAGTTCTTAGTTCTCATCTTCACGTTATCAATCTGACAAAGTATTTTCTGTGCATGTTGGCATCAAAGGCATTGTAGAAGGAAAATTCAGTTAACAAAATAATGAACAAAGTGAGAAGGCATGCCCTAGAGACGAAAATAGGTGGACAGAAAAATAAATAGGTTGAAAAAAAACCCCACCCTCAAAAGAAAACCAAACAAACCCAAACCATAATCATGAAGGCTTACAAAAGCCAAACATCAGTGTTCTAGTTCTGGTGAGAATTAGTTTGAAGTGCCTAATACAAGAGATATTTAACTGGTTTCTTACATGCATGTAGCTACAACAGAAAATGGATTTCAACTTGCTTGACAGAATTCATTATTTCTCTGTCAAATGGCATATTTTGTGGTGAAACAAAAACAGGCTACTACAAAAGTATTCCAAATTTGCAAGGTCGAGAACCAAAATGGTGGAAAATTTGCTGCACTTGGGAGTCATCATGCGTTCAAAAGCCCCACTGTCATATACTAAAAGCTGTGGTAGCTCCTGGACAATACTGGTATATTCAGACAACAGAACAGACATCACACCACTTCTCTTTAAGTTAAATTGTCCCATAAGAAGCTTGGGACTGCAGTGAAAGGCAGCAGTCATCTCACCGTGCTGTTCTCTTTATTCTCGCAGCAGCCCTCCTAGATTAACCATCTCGCCCACTCTGGTTTTTCTGTAGACCAGTATGCAGCTTTTTATTATTTCTACTTGGCAATTTTCTTTAGTCTTCCTACTCCTTCTGCTTTCTGCACTATGACCTATTTGTTTCTTTGTTTTTCCCTGTGGAAGGAAAAAAGTCAATCTGTATATTTTTCTCAACATTAGTTACCGTGAGAAAAAATTTAATACATTATTAAAGGCAACAGAGATAGTAATTTTCTGAATTCCTAACAGCACTTGAATTAGCCAAATCATTATTTTATGAAATACAATGGTAAAGAAAAAGGTATGGTACCCTTTCAGTTGAAACACAGTTCTGTGCACCACTGAAAAGAGGTTCTTTAGAACCTGCAAATCACTGCTTTGTAGTAATTTCCTAAGAATAAAACACTAACCTAACCACTTTTCAGCCATATACTCTGGCAGCCAACTCAAAAAGGGCAACATGAAGTTTCGCATTACGCTCTGTCCAGTACAGCTGTCAATTTCCAGTGAAAGAGTTGATCTTACTTTTTCCTGTGTCTCACATGCAGGTCATCTAACCAACCTAAAGTAAAAGAGCCCAATTATGTATTCACTCACTTATACACTTATTTACACACTCTAATCAGCTTTATACAGCCAGAAGATCTGATGTGAAGACGAGGCTGGGAATAAACGTCATTAGGCTTAGGGAAGTGGAAGAGGAGAGCATAAGATGTGGTCTCCTGGTATAGTCAGGTTAATTGGATGTGGTCATAATATGAAACTACATGCTTGTCCTGATTATGTCTGGGATGGTGTTAAATATCTTCATAGGATCCCATATAGTTCCGTGTATTGGATTTGTGCCTAAATCTCTGTTAATAACACACTAAGGTTTTGGCAGTTTCTGAACTGTGCTTGCACATCATCAGGGCTTTCTCTTTTTCACACTTTGTTCCCCCAGTAAGTAGACTAGGGGTGGGCAAGACACGGGGAGGGCACAGCTGAGACAGTTGACCCAAACTGGCTAAAGGGATATTCCATGCCATATAATGCCACAAAAACCCAGAGGTGAAAAAGGCAGGTTGGGTGGAAATGGGCAGTGGGCAAAGGTGGGCAGTGTTCAAAGAATGGCTGGGCATCTGTCTGCCTGTGGGAGATGGTGATTTTGTTGCTTCTTTTTCCTCTTTCTTCTACCTTTTAAACTGCCTTTATCTTGACCCATGAGTTTTCGTGCTTTTTTTTTCCTTGTTTTATTTTTTTTTTACCCCTCATGCCCCTGGGTAGGGGGAGTGAGCAAATGGCTGTGTGAGTGGCTTGGCTGCTGACCAAGGTTGGTACTCCACCATCCTTAATGTACAGAATTATTCTGTATGGTGCAGAGGACAGATAACCTGAATTTTCCAAAGAGAGATGTCACCTTCCTTCCCAAGTCTTCCTGAGATGGGAAATTGCAGAATGCTTCAGTTGGAAGAGAAGGGAGAGACCTAATTTTGTCCTCTACAAGAGTATAAGAAACCTCACAAAGAAATTGCTCCACATTATCTTTTCAGAACTGTGCAAAAAAATGCAGATTTGTGTAATAATCTTATGACTCTTAGGCCAAAATAAATAAATAAATTGTGGTCACTTTTCAGAGGACCAGAATTATGACTGGTCCCACATTATGAGCAAGAGTTTCTCAGGTGCTGAATTTGTCTTATCAGCAAACGGACTTGGATTTGCCTGTGATGTCCTAGTATCTCTATAGGCATTTGAAGCTGGCATTCCCACCTCAGGAGCAGATATGTACGTTGAAGGTACTTGGTTACTAACTTGCATGGTGCCTGCTTTGCTGACCTCTAAATAAACCAGCTTTAAAGTAAGGGCACGCAGGGTAGTAGTGCAACAGCTTAAAAAAGGACTGAAGGAGGAAAGTGTTGAGGAGGTAAGTGCATTTGGACAAGCTAAAGGATTCCTCCCGGTGTCATGAATACAATAATTTCTGTGTGAAGACATTTAAAAGGCAACATTATTGCAATAATGGGGTGCCTGCTTAATGAAAGTGTGTTCTTGAGTGAGTACTGTCACTGTATTTTGCAGTTATGACAAAGTTGGCCAAAAAGAATCTAAAGTAAGACCTGAATGGATTTTCCACAATTAATTGTTTAACTCAAGAGTTGACAATGAAAGTGGTGACGCCAGCTTTAAAAAAAGCTTTTATTGAGGAAAAAAAAACCACACCACAAAATAAAACCCAGCACACAAAAAAAAACCCAAAACAGAAGAAAAACCAAAGCAAGCAAACAAACAAACCAAAAGAAAAAAAAAAAAAAAGCACAAAAAAACCTTAAACAAAAACAAAAGAAGTCCTTCAGGATGCATAGCTCCTTTCTTCGTTTTTTTGCACAATGCTCTGTCTAATTCACATTAAATTCAGCATGATCTCAATATCAACTTCTTGTAATGATAGTCACCGAGGGAGTCTCAAGTCCTCGACAGGTCCTGCCCAGCTGACACGAGCAGACGACTCACAGGGGGCGGAGCCAGGAGCAGCGGCACCAGCACTGATTGGTTGAAAACCTGTCCCAGGGAGCATGTTGAGGCAGTTTGCGCAGCAGTTCGAGCGGGATGGTGAGCACTCGTCATATGACTGGGGCCTGGTCTGGGAGCTCTGCTCTGGCTGCTCCCACGGTGGGCAGCATAGGCAGCCAAACAGAGCTGATGAGAGGGGAGCCTGCAGCACAGAGCCCGGAGTGTAGAGAGTGCCTGCACTGGTCTGGTGAGGGAAAGGTACACAATGGGCAGGGCTGCACTCGGTGCTCCCTGGTGGAGGTCCTCCTGCAGCAGGTGGTTGAGCTGTGGTGATCCTATTAATAGGCTGCAAGATGTCAGGGTAGCTGAGAGGAAGCAGGAATGCTTGCTCCCTTCCCAAAGTGTGCAGGGGCCTCAAGCATCCATTGTAGCTCATGGAGGAAAGAAGGAGGCCATTAACCTGCAAAGCTGGGAATTGGTGACAAAAAAAACAACAAAACAACAAAAAACGGAGGAAAAGGACAATTAAAAGCAAAGGGCTTCCTTGTAAATCTGTTGTCCCCACGCAGAACCGCTTTGCCATCCTGCAGGGGGCTAATGAGGAAACGCACTTGCGCCAGAAACAACCGGCTGATGCACTAGTAAAGAAGATCTCTACTGGTGTTGCCAGGAACAAGTGGTGGGTCGTAGTAGTAGGGGACTCTACTTTGAACGGGACAGAAGCACTTGTCTGTCGGCCTGACCCGGTCTCAAGGCAGGTGTGTTGCCTACCAGGGACAAAGATCAGGGATGTTGCAGGGGGGTTGCCTGGTTTCGTAAGTCCCACTGCCTATTACCCACTTCTGGTGATACATGTGGGTGCTAGGGATATAGATAGTAGTAGCCTGGGGAACATAAAGAAGGACTACAGAGCCTCTGTAGACAGACAGGAAAGGCCTTATGCTCGCAGGCCCTTGTCATGGGGGACTTCAACCACCCTGACATCTGTTGGAATGGCGGTATGGCCTGGCACAAGAAACCCAGAAGGTTCCTCAACTGTGTGGAAGACAACTTCCTTCTGCAAGTAATAGAGGAGCCGACAAGGAGGGGTGCCATGCTTGACCTTGTGCTCACCAGCAGGGAAGGGCTCATTGGAAATGTGATGCTCCAGGGCAGCCTTGGTTGTAGCGATCAAGAGATGGTCAAATTTGAGATCCTCAGGACAGTGCAAGAGCTTGCAGCAAGCTCGCTGCCCTGGACTTCAAAAGAGCAAACTTTGGCCTCTTCAGGGACCTGCTTAGCAAGGTTCCATGGGATAGCCATAAGAGGGCAGGGGGGCCCAAGACTGTTGGTTGATATTCAAGGATCACCTGCTACAAGCTCAGGAGTGTTGCATCCCAACTAGGAGAAGTGCAGCAGGAG